GTGTGTGTGTGTGTGTGTGTAGTGTGTGTGTGTGTGTGTGTGTGTGTGTGTGTGTGTGTGTGTGTGTATGTGTGTGTGTGTGTGTGATTGGCGGTCATAGCTGGTGGCGCATCATTGTTATCATCATCATCTATGTTGTTGTACACAATCGTCATGATTAGATCACGGGCGGAATGAATCTGTGCGTATAATGTAGATCGGTCATGGTATATGTAGACGTGGCCTTGCCGCTTACGTTATTCGTGGTTGCGAGACAGGGGGGGGGGGAGCTAATCATTGATAATAGTATGAATACATCAAGAGTTCATAATAGGAATCTTTTTCTATCATGGACTCTTGATTACATTTATACGATTATGATTTTATTTGCATTGACAGCGTCGAACTGGTGGTAGGTGTTGGTAACGCTAGTGTGTGCGTGCGCGTGCGCGTGTGTATGTGTGCGTGCGTGTGTGTGCGTGTGCGTATGTGTGCGTGTGTGTGTGTGTGCGTACGTGCGCGCGCGTGCGTGCGTACATATGTGTGTGAGTGTGTGCGCGCGCGCGTGTGTTTATAGCACGGTATTGATGTTTTGTGAAATATTGCGGTGTCCGACACGGCTACTTGAAGCTTTGACGACAAGGCTGCGCATTTACCGAATGAAATACGAAGGTAATTTACGTAAACACACTGTGATCGTTATGAATGCCATGCCCCCTTTTTCCACTGCCACCACAAATCCCGTTTCAAAATTCGTCCTTCTGCGCCGAAAATTAGGTGTCAAATTACCGCGAACAAAAAACAACTAGTTAAAAAAAAGCTTTTCAATGGAGCGCTTTGATTTTCGCAATCCACCGATTTCTGCCGAAACAAGAGAAACGAAGTGAAAAGCTAAGCGGATACACACACTATAGTTTTCGTTGCGATTTTTTCTTCGTGTAATCCTAACCTTCGTTGACAAAGCCGTGGCGCTCGTCTCTCTCTCTCTCTCTCTCTCTCTCTCTCGCTCTTCTATCTGCGTGCAACCTTGAGCGGTGCGTGAGAATACTAACAGTGGCCCATGCGGGCATAGCATCGCATCGCTTCTTCTACCCGGTAAAGCTAATCATCCCGTGAGGATAGAATTCGATTTAGAGACACACCCACAGGTAGTAGCAGGTGCACTGCAAGCACCCACCCTTTGTCGCATGCAGTAGCAAGCACGCACTCCCCCGTCCCCGCGGGTGGTATATATATATATATATATATATGTATAATTATATCAAGAGCTAATAATACCAATATTAGCGGTAGCCTTATACGGTATTATTAACTCTTGATATTATATATATATATATATATATA